CTTGCTGATGGAAGGAGGTTTTCACTCAAAATCTCACGATACATGGCCCCATTCATTCTTTCATTTACACGGATCAGTCGTCCTGGTCCCTTTGCAGAAAAACAGCCCCAAAGCATGATGTTTCCACCCCCATGCTTCACAGTAGGTATGGTGTTCTTTGGATGCAACTCAGCATTCTTTGTAGTCCAAACACGACGAGTTGAGTTTTTACCAAAAAGTTATATTTTGGTTTCATCTGACCATATGACATTCTCCCAATCCTCTTCTGGATCATCCAAATGCCCTCTAGCAAACTTCAGACGGGCCTGGACATGTACTGGCTTAAGCAGGGGGACACGTCTTGCACTGCAGGATTTGAGTCCCTGGCGGCGTAGTGTGTTACTGATGGTAGGCTTTGTTACTTTGGTCCCAGCTCTCTGCAGGTCATTCACTAGGTCCCCCTGTGTGGTTCTGGGATTTTTGCTCACCGTTCTTGTGATCATTTTGACCCCACGGGGTGAGATCTTGCGTGGAGCCCCAGATCGAGGGAGATTATCAGTGGTCTTGTATGTCTTCCATTTCCTAATAATTGCTCCCACAGTTGATTTCTTCAAACCAAGCTGCTTACCTATTGCAGATTCAGTCTTCCCAGCCTAGTGCAGGTCTACAATTTTGTTTCTGGTGTCCTTTGACAGCTCTTTGGGCTTGGCCATAGTGGAGTTTGGAGTATGACTGTTTGAGGTTGTGGACAGGTGTCTTTTATACTGATAACAAGTTCAAACAGGTGCCATTAATACAGGTAACGAGTGGAGGACAGAGGAGCCTCTTAAAGAAGAAGTTACAGGTCTGTGAGAGCCAGAAATCTTGCTTGTTTGTAGGTGACCAAATACTTATTTTCCACCATAATTTGCAAATCAATTCATTAAAAATCCTACAATGTGATTTTCAGGATTTTTTTGCTAAATTTGTCTGTCATAGTTGACGTGTACCTATGATGAAAATTACAGGCCTCTCTCATCTTTTTAAGTGGGAGAACTTGCACAATTGGTGGCTGACTAAATACCTTTTTTCCCCACTGTATGTCATGCAATAAAATGCAAATGAATTACTTAAAAATCATACAATGTGATTTTCTCTCACAGTTGAAGTGTACCTATGATAAAAATTACAGACCTCTACATGCTTTGTAAGTAGGAAAACCTGCAAAATCGGCAGTGTATCAAATACTTGTTCTCCCCACTGTAATTTTACTTGCCACAAAATAAGAAAAAAAAAAGTGGATTGTAATGATGTCATGTCATAGTATCGTGGGGACCAGGTTAGAGTTACTAGATAAGTGGCTTGGTGCCACGGAGTCTACATTCCGTTATGTCAAAGGAGATTACTGATGTTTATGATAGCATGATTGATGGACAGGATATACTGACTTGGGGTAAAGAGTAATAACATCAAAGAATGGGAGTGCCCATGATGATTACCAGATGTTCGTGGAGAGACTTGTAACAGTTTGTATATATAGAGAGAGTGGATCTTTGTTCTGGAGTTCGGAGGTGGTCCTCTGTAGCTCAATTGGTAGAGCATGGCGCTTGTAACGCCAGGGTAGTGGGTTCGATCCCCGGGACCACCCATACGTAAAAATGTATGCGCACATGACTAAGTCGCTTTGGATAAAAGCGTCTGCTAAATGGCATATTATGGTAGAGGCAAAGCTCTATCCTTCTGTTTAACTAACCATGTTAAATATCTAATATGAACTCCCCATCAAAAGTGTCTAAGTACATCCTTACATTCGTAATCACTTGATACCCTAGAAACTCATCATAACACCCGATAAGCAGTTTTGTACACGATAAGCTACACTGAGTGTACAAAACATTAAGAACACCTTCCTAATATTGAGTCAGAACAGCCTCAATTCCTTGGGGCATGGACGGGAAACTGTTGAGAAAATGTTCTACAGGGATGTTGGCCCATGTTGACTCCAATGCTTCCCACAGTCAGTTGTGACAAGTTGGCTGGATGTCCTTTGGGTGATGGACCATTCTTGATACACACGGGAAACTGTTGAGTGAGAAAAACCCAGCAGTGTTGCAGTTCTTGACACAAACCGGTGTGCCTGGCACCTAATACCATACCCTGTTCAAAGCCACTTAAATATTTTGTCTTCCCATTCACACTCTGAATGGCACACATACACAATCCATGTCTCAATTGTCTCAAGGCTTAAAAATCCTTCTTTAACCTGTCTCCTCCCCTTCATCTACACTGATTGAAGTGGATTTAACAAGTGACATCAATAAAGGATCATAGCTTTCACTTGGATTTACCTGGCCAGTCTATGTAACAGAAAGAACAGGTGTCCTTAATGTTTTGTACACTCAGTGTAAATACACACAACAGCTAGGCCAGTAAAAACAGAGCACACAAACAAAATATACTGAACACTTACAGACATGATTTACACACTACCGATACACTATCCTTCCAGACTTATAAGTATCAAGATTAGCCTACTAGCGACTGACAGTCTACATAAAGACTGTAGTGGTCTTGTGTTTGTTAAATCTGATGATGTAAAAAGAGCTTTATAAATACATCTGATTGAAATTTGATTGGTTTACAATGTGTGTCATCATGGAACATAACGTTTCCAATGCAAAACTCCACAGGCTCCACACAGCACGTTGTTGTACCAAAAGCAAATAGCAGAGGTTGTGTAGGGATGATGCCATTGTGTAGGGACGATGTCATTGTGTAGGGATGATGTCATTGTGTAAGGACAATGTTAGAGTTATCGTAGGGTCAGATTCCTCCCCCAGCCGACACACACTCATGATTAGTCACCTTGTCTTACCGTGGTGGGTGGAGTGTGTGTGCCTGTGTGGAGTGTGTCTGGGGGAAGTGTGTGTGTGTCTGGGGGAAGTGTGTGTATCTGGGGGAAGTGTGTGTGTGTGTGTGTGTGTGTGTGTGTCTGGGGGAAGTGTGTGTGTGTGTGTGTCTGGGGGAAGTGTGTGTGTGTGTGTGAGTCTGGGGGAAGTGTGTGTGTGTGTGTGTGTGTGTGTCTGGGGGAAGTGTGTGTGTGTGTCAGGGGGAAGTGTGTGTGTGTGTGTGTTTCTGGGGGAAGTGTGTGTGTGTGTGTGTGTGTCTGGGGGAAGTGTGTGTGTGTGTGTGTGTGTCTGGGGGAAGTGTGTGTGTGTGTGTCTGGGGGAAGTGTGTGTGTGTGTGTCTGGGGGAAGTGTGTGTGTGTGTGTGTGTGTGTGTGTCTGGGGTAGTGTGTGTGTGTGTGTGTGTGTGTGTCTGGGGGAAGTGTGTGTGTGTGTGTGTGGTGTGTGTGTGTGTGTGTGTGTGTGTTGTGTGTTTTGTGTGTGTGTGTGTGTGTGTTGTTCTGGGGGAAGTGTGTTGTGTGTGTGTGTGTGGGGGGGGGGGGGAAGTGTGTGTGTGTGTCTGGGGGAAGTGTGTGTGTGTGTGTGTGTCTGGGGGAAGTGTGTGTGTATGTGTGTGTCTGGGGGAAATGTGTGGTGTGTGTGGTCTGGGGGAAGTGTGTGTGTGTGTGTGGGGGAGGGTGTGTGTGTGGTGTCTGGGGAAGTGTGTAGTGTGTGTGTGTCTGGGAAGTGTGTGTGTGTGTGTGTTGTGTGTGTGGTCATGGGGGAAGTGTGTGTGTTGGTGTGTTGTGTGTGTGTGTTTCTGCTGGGGAAGTGGTAGTGTGTGTGTGTGTGGTACTTGGGGGAATTGTGTGTGTGTGTGTGTTGCTGGGGGAAGTGTGTGTGTGTGTGTGTAGTTCTGGGGGAAGTGTGTGTGTTGTTCTGGGGAAGTGTGTGTGTGTCCCTGGGGGAGTGTGGTGGTGGTGGTGTTGTGTGTGTCTGGGGGAAGTGTGTGTGTGTGTATGTGTGTCTGGGGGGAAGTGTGTGTGGAGAGAAGGAATAAGAGCAGAGTCACCATGAGCAGTGCTGTTAGAAGAGCTCAATGCATTGTGGGTAAGTGTATGGCGTAGATGGGTCGCCATGCCTCATCCCCATCTTTCTCTACCTCTTTCATTCTCTCACACACTCGCTTACACTCATTGTCGGTGCATGAGTGGAATTTACCTTCTGAGTCCTCAACAGGATCGATGGCTTCAATGGCCTCAATGGTAGCTGAGGATGGAGAGAAAGAGAGAAAGAGAGAGGGAGTGAGAGTGAGAGAAAGAGAGAGGAGGGTGAGGGTTATTCATGCAAAACCCTCACAGCGGCACTGCAGCCTTCAGTGCAGAGGGTGTCTGGTGTTAGCATGTTCGGTAGCTATCGTTAGCTCACACACATACACAAACACACACATATATATACCAGGCTATTAGTACTATCAGCAGTAGTGAGGTGAGGGTGACATGGAGTGACGGAGTGATTGACAGAACGAACATGGAATACAGAGAGAGAGAGAGAGAGAGAGAGAGAGCGAGACAGAGACAGCGTATGTGTGTGTGAGAGAGAGAGAGAGAGAGAGAGAGAGAGAGAGAGAGCGAGCGAGACAGAGACAGCGTGTGTGTGTGTGAGAGAGAGAGAGAGAGAGAGACAGACAGCGTATGTGTGTGTGTGTGTGTGTATGTGTGAGAGAGAGTGAGAGAGAAAGGAAAGGGAGTATAAGAGAGAGGGGGAAACACACATAGATAGTGTGTGTATGCAAATGTGTGTGAGAAAGTAGGAATGTGTGTGTGTGCTTGTTTGCCCGTGTGTGGAGGGGTGTGTGTGTGTGTGTGTGTGTGTGTGTGTGGAGGTGTGTGTGTGTGGAGGTGTGTGTTTGTACTCACCACTCTGCAGAGTCTGCTTGCCTCCTGACAGAACTCCGCTGGGCAGCATGCCAGTGGGTGTCAGTCCCTTCAGGGTTAAAACATTCTCACTCTCCTCCCTAAAACACACACACACACACGCATAGAGGATTAGAAAACGCACACACACTAGCATACACACTCTCACATGCTTCTGCACACATTCACACACACACACACACACACACATACATACACACACACTGAAGGTCAATCACCGTAAAACTTGGAACATTTTGGCCATCTTCCCTATGGCACGGATCTTGTTCCTGATCACCTCTTTCCTAGCTGCCGCTGCATTGGCTGGAGGGAACCAATCACAGAGGAGTAAAACAAAGGACACCAATAACAAGGAAGTGAAAGGGAAGGTTGAATTGACATAATAATGGAAACAATCAACGTGTCTGTGTGCCAAATGGCACCTTGTTCCCTATATTGGGAGTAAGGTCCCATTTGAGATGTAGCAGGTCTTCCCATGTGTATCTATTTACAAAGATATGATTACCATCATAGACCTCTTCCTCTCCATCATTCTCCATTAGTTCATCATCTGAACAGATACTGAGAACATTCACCAGCATCTCTGTCACTGTGGAGAGGGAGAGAGTGACAGAGAGGGGGGGGGGGCACAGTCAATATGAGAGAGAGAGAGAGAGAGAGAGAGAGAGAGAGAGAGAGGGGGCACAGTCAATATCATGAGAAAACAAAAAAGATATTACTTGACACATTGGAAAGAATTAACACAAAAAAAACAGAGCAAACTAGAATGCTATCTGGCCCTAAACAGAGAGTACACAGTGGCAGAATACCTGACCACTGTGACTGACCCTAAATTAAGGAAAGCTCTGACTATGTACAGACTCAGTGACTATAGCCCTGCTATTGAGAGAGGCCGCCATAGCCAGACCTGGCTCTCAAGAGAAGACAGGCTATGTGCCCACTGCCCACAAAATTATGTGGAAACTGAGCTGCACTTCCTAACCTCCTGCCAAATGTATGACCATATTAGAGACACATACCGAGAGACTCAGAGAGAGTGAGTCAGAGAGAGTGAGAGAGAGAGTTAGTGAGAGAGGGAGAGAATAAGAGAGTTAGTGAGAGAGAGAGAAATAGTGAGAGAGAGAGATAGTGAGAGAGAGAGAGTTAGTGAGAGAGAGTTAGGGTGAGAGAGTTAGTGTGAGAGAGTTAGATTATTGAGCGCGTGTTCGTGTGCGTGGAGAGAGTTAGTGTGAGCGCGCGTTCGTGTGCGTGCGCGCGTTAGTGTGCTGGCGAGCGTGTGTCGTGTGTGTGCGTGCGCGGCGTTCGTGTTGGAGTGCGTTGTGTGCTGCGGAGCGCGCGTTCTTGTGCGTGAGACAAGCGCGAGGAGAGTTCAGTGGAGCGAAGAGCGAACATCGAGAGCGCCGAGATGAGCACGAGAGCACAGAGAGAGCATCCGCGAGAGACTCGAGAGAGAGAGATACTATCTCGCGAGCGTTGTGTGCGGAGAGTTCTGTAGAGATGAGTTCGTTGAGAGATCGTTCGTTAGAAGATCCGTACTAGCCTATCGAAGAGAGTATCGATCGAGCTGGCGCCTCGGAGCGAGACCGCTATCGCAGAGCGATAGAGCGCGAGAAAGAGAGAGAGTTAGTGACGATAGGGTTCGTTTGCGCTAGAGAGAGTTTTTGTGGAGAGCAGCGAGTTACGATGTGAGCAGACTTTAGTGAGAGAATTGTGAGAGAGAGTTAGTGGAGATAGAGAAGAGAGAGAGTTATTGTGGAGAGAGACTTAGTTAGAGAGAGAGAATAAGAGATCGATAAGGAAGCGAATAGATAGCAGCAGGATGAGAGAGAGAGAGCGAGAGAAAGAGAGAGAGTTATGGAAGAGGGTTAGTGTGCGAGAGAGGAGATTCGTTTGAGGACAAGTTAGGTGGGTGAGAGAGCGTTTTGAGAGAGAAGTTAGTGTAGAGAGAGCATTTAGTAGAGCTAGAAGGAAAAAAAGAGAGATAGAGTTAGTGAGAGAAGAGTGAGAGGAGATACTAAAGATAAGAGAGAGTTAGTGAGAGTGAAGAATAAGAGAGAGAGCGAGAGAAGAGATAGAGAGAGAAGAGAGAGAGAAGAGAGTCTATAGAGTTATATATAGAGAGAGATAATAGAGATATAGATCTGAGATAGCGAGAGAGAGAGAGAGATAGAGAGATGATATTATAAGAGTATAGTTAGTGTGAAAGAGACGTTTAGTGATAGAGAGAGATTTTAGTGTTATAGAAATATAAGAGAGAGTTATTTGTTATAATTTGCTAGCGAGATAGAGAGTTATTGTTATAGATTGAGAACTAGATTTAGTGATATATATAGAAAGAGCTTCGGAGATAGAGAGAGAATAGAAGAAACATAAGATTTAGATATTGAGATAGTTTTTAGAGAGATATAAAAGATGATAGAGTTAGTGAAGATATAGCAAGAGAGATGAGAAGAGAGAGAGAGAGGAAAGAAGAGAGAATAAGAGGATAGATAGAGTTTAGTGTAGAGAGAGAGTTATGTGATAGAGAGTTTAGTTTGAGAGATAGTAGTGATAGAGAGAGAGAGAGGTAGAGAGAGCGAGATAAAGAGAGAGAGTTATACGAGAGTTTTAGTGTGGCGAGCTAGAGAGTTATGTGAGAGACAGAGAGTATTTTTTATTTTTTATTTATTTTTTTATTTTTATTTTATTTATTTTATTTTATTTTTTCTTTCGGGGGTATTGGATCGCTTAATAGTGCAGATAGAATTGTAATCTTACTTCAATGTAATTGTCCTGCATCACTTCATCCCCCATGTTTTTTTTATTTTTTATATATATATTCCCCTTTAATTATTTTCAGACCAACCCCACCATCCTTTCCCTACTTGGAGTAAATTAGTGAACAACAACGCCCAGGCCTCTACTTCCGGTCTATACTTACTATCTACACCTTATGGACAGAGTTAATTTTACAATAATTCTATATCTATATCTATATATATATATATATATATATAGAGATATATTTATTTATTTTTTTGCTCCTGAACTTCTTCTACTCTCAACCTCTCCGATCATTTTCATGATGTCCATCCGGTTTGCTTCTAAATGCCATATCTTTCTAACTGTGCTCTTTCCCAAAAGCTCCCAACATACAACCTATATACTTATTATGGACACAGTATGCTTACATTATTAGCTATCTTTGTTATTATTTGTTGTTATTTGTTATTAGTCCCATCCTTCAGAGACAGAGAGTTAGTGTGAGAGAGCGTTAGTGAGAGAGAGTTAGTGAGAGAGAGAGTTAGTGAGAGATAGAGAGTTAGTGAGAGAGAGAGAGAGTGAGAGTGAGATAATAAGAGAGAGAGAGTTAGTGAGAGTGAGAGAATAAGAGAGAGAGAGAGAGAGAGAGAGAGAGAGAGAGAGAGAGAGAGAGAGAGAGAGAGAGAGAGAGAGAGAGAGAGAGGAGAGAGAGAGAGAGAGAGAGAGAGAGGAGAGAGAGAGAGAGAGAGAGAGAAAAAAATAATAAGAGAGAGAACATATTCAGAGTGGGAGACAATCCGTTTCTTTTGGTGTTTGTAATACATGTAGTCGTTCTTCCCACCTTTCTCTCCAACGAAGGGCAGGGACCAGGTGAAGACGTCCATGAAGTTGGGCAGCCAGTAGGGATGAGGGGAACAGTTGAACTGACGGATGTTCATCACGTTGTTCTCATACTTCAGCACCGCCGCTATGAGAGGATGAGAGATGGCAGGCCTGTTACACACTGATAGCCTACTGGTGTGTGTCTGTCGGTCTGTCTGTGTGTGCGTGTGCATGTCTGACCTTTGTTGTTGTAGACGTCCAGGTAGTTAGGTGCTGAGAAGATGGTGATGAGGGAGGGGAAGCCTGTAGTCTGACTCTTTCTGTACATCCGGTACCTGAACAGGGAAACGGTCAAGGGATTGGGATACGTTAGGATTGCATAGATTGGGGTTCATCTGTAAGGGGTATAGGGTTAAATATATGGTTGTTGTTTGGTTAAGGTTAGTCTTGACTATGGATAACTGTCTATAAATGGACTGATTTGATTATGAAACCTTGCACTGCTGTATTGGTTGACTGAACTGTTTGTGTTGACATAACAACCCCAATCCCCCCCCCAAAAAAACACTTAACCCACATCCCCACCCCCGGATCAATCAACACACACTGGGGTGTACAGTGTTTGTCAATAACCAAAGAAGAAGTGGGGCTTCTCTTACCCAGAATCTTGCGCTTCATGTGCTCTGATGACGGACAACAAGTTGTTGGTCTGTAAAAACTCACACACCGCAGGGTAACTAGAGAGAGAGAGAGAGAGAGAGAGAGAGAGAGAGAGCGAGAGAGATTGTATTTTGAACACCCCTACATTACATCAGATGGTAGGTCTACTTTGAAACAGCTCACATTGAATGACCACCAGGGGTCATCATTGAGCCCCTAATGAACAGCAGAACCAGATCTAGTAGGAGGGCAGTGTATTTTTCTCTCAATAGACTGTGGTGTGGGCTCCATATTGTATAGCACGATACTATGACAACAGTCTCAACTATCCATCACTCCATTCCTCTGGTCTCACATTTGATTAATCTATTTTTTCTCCCTCACTCCCCCTCTCTCTCTTTACCTCACTGTATCTTAATATCACTCCCCAATCTGGCAGTAGTAGCCAGTCGTCATGGAAACAGAACGGTGCAGTCTCCCTAAGGATTGTGGGATATGGTTTAACGCTGAAACTGTGTGTGTGGATCTGTGAGATAACTGGGCAAAATTACAGCTGTTCCACAAATCCCAATTATTCTTTGGTTGTTGGATCTCTGAAGCAGCTTGTAGTACAACACGTTTCACATCCTCCATCTCACCTTTCTCCTGTACATCACACCAACAGATCACACTGGTTCTCACCTGTCTTAGAAGTGTGTGTGTGTGTGTGTGTGCCTGTGTGTGCCTGCGTATGTGCGTTGCCATGTTAGCGTCTCTCTGTGTTTACCTGTAGAAGTAGGAGCAGCCCCTGACTGTGTTGTGGCCGAAGTATTCTTGTGTCTTTTCGTTTCCAAAGTCCTCCAGTGGGTCGGCCCACAGCAGGTCACACATGGGCCCGAACGCTGGAGGTTCCTTGAACCTGTCCAACTGGATTATAGAGACAATGACAACACACCAGATATCTGACCAAACATTAAGAACACCTTCCTAATATTGAGTTGCACCCCCCGCCCTCCGGACTCTAAAAGGTGTCAAAAGCATTCCACAGGGAAATTGGCCCATGTTGACATCCAGCCAACTTATCACAGTTGTGTGAAGTTGGCTGGATGTCCTTTGGGTGGTGGACCATTCTTGATACACACGGGAAACTGTTGAGCGTGAAAAACCCAGCAGCGTTGCAGTTCCTGACACATTCAAACCAGTGTGCCCGGCACCTACTACCATACCCCGTTCAAAGGCACTTCATATTTTGTCTTGCCTATTCACCCTCTGAATGGCACACATACACAATCCATTTCTCAATTGTCTGAAGGCTTAAAAATCCTTCTTTAACCTGTCTCCTCCCCTTAATCTACACTGATTGAAGTGTATTTAACAGGTGACATCAATAAGGGATCATAGTTTTCACCTGGATTCCCCTGGCAACATCCGCACTGAGCTAAAGGGTAGAGCTGCTGCTTTCAGTGTGTGTGTGTGACTCTAACCCGGAAGCTTATAGGAAATCCCGCTATGCCCTCCGACGAACCATCAAACAGGGAAAGCGTCAATACAGGACTAAGATTGAATCGTACTACACCGGCTCCGACGCTCGTCGGATTTGGCAGGGCTTGCAAACTATTACAGACTACAAAGAGAAGCACAGCCGCGAGCTGCCCAGTGACACGAGGCTACCAGACGAGCTAAATTACTTCTATGCTCGCTTCGAGGCAAGTAACACTGAAACATGCATGTGGACATCAGCTGTTCCGGATGACTGTGTGATCATGCTCTCTGTAGCCGATGTGAGTAAGACCTTTAAACAGGTTAACATTCACAAGGCCACAGGGCCAGACGGATTACCAGGACGTGTACTCAGAGCATGCGCTGACCAACTGGCAAGTGTCTTCGCTTACATTTTAAACCTCTCCCTGTCTGAGTCTATAATACCAACATGTTTCAAGCAGACCACCATAGTTCCTGTGCCCAAGGACACTAAGGTAACCTGCCTAACTGACTACCGACCCGTAGCACTCACGTCTGTAGACATGAAGTGCTTTGAAAGGCTGGTCATGGCTCACATCAACACCATTATCCCAGAAACCCTAGACCCACTCCAATTTGCATACCACCCCAACGGATCCACAGATGATGCAATCTCTATTGCGCTCCACACTGCCCTTTCACACCTGGACAAAAGGAACACCTATGTGAGAATGCTATTCATTGACTACAGCTCAGCGTTCAACACCATAGTGCCCTCAAAGCTCATCACTAAGCTAAGAACCCTGGGACTAAACATCTCCCTCTGCAACTGGATCCTGGACTTCCTGACGGGCTGCCCCCAGGTGGTAAGGGTAGGTAACAACACATCTGCCACGCTGATCCTCAACACGGGGGCCCCTCAGGGGTGCATGCTCAGTCCCCTCCTGTACTCCCTGTTCACTCATGACTGCATGGCCAGGCACGACTCCAACACCATCATTAAGTTTGCCGATGACACAACAGTGGTAGGCCTGATCACCGACAATGACGAGACAACCTATAGGGAGGAGGTCAGAGACCTGGCCGTGTGGTGCCAGGACAACAACCTCTCCCTCAACGTGATCAATACAAAGGAGATGATTGTGGACTACAGGAAAAAGAAGAGGACCGCGCACACCCCCATTCTCATCGACAGGGCTGTAGTGGAGCAGGTTGAGAGCTTCAAGTTCCTTGGTGTCCACATCACCAACGAACTATCATGGTCCAAACACACCAAGACAGTCGTGAAGAGGGCACAACAAAGCCTATTCCCCCTCAGGAGACTGAAAATATTTGGCATGGGTCCTCAGATCCTCAAAAAATTATACAGCTGCACCATCGAGAGCATCTTGACTGGTTGCATCACCGCCTGGTATGGCAACTGCTTGGCCTCCGACCGCAAGGCACTACAGAGGGTAGTGCGTACGGCCCAGTACATCACAAGGGCCAAGCTTCCTGCCATCCAGGACCTCTATACCAGGCGGTGTCAGAGGAAGGCCCTCAAAATTGTCAAAGACTCCAGCCACCCTAGTCATAGACTGTTCTCTCAGCTACCGCACGGCAAGCGGTACCGGAGTGCCAAGTCTAGGTCCAAAAGACTTCTCAACAGCTTCTACCCCCAAGCCATAAGACTCCTGAACAGCTAATCATGGCTACCTGGACTATTTGCACTGCCCCCCCCACCCCCACCCCCCACCCCATCTTTTTACGCTGCTGCTACTCTGTTCATTATTTATGCATAGTCACTTTAACTCTACCTACATGTACATATTACTTCAACTACCTCAACTAGCCGGTGCCCCCGCACATTGACTCTGCACCGGTACCCCCCTGTATATATAGCCTCCCTACTGTTATTTTATTTTACTTCAGCTCTTTTTTTCCTCAACACTTTTTTGTTGTTGTTTTATTTTACTTTTTTATTAAAAATAAATGCACTGTTGGTTAAGGGCTGTAAGTAAGCATTTCACTGTAATGTCTGCACCTGTTGTATTTGGCGCATGTGGCCAATAACATTTTATTTGATTTGAACAAACACCATTGTAAATACAACCCATATTTATGTTGATTTATTTTTCCTTTTGTACTTTTTGTAACTATTTGCACATCGTTACAACAGCCAATAATATGACATTTGAATTTGATTGTTTATTTCACTTTTGTTTATTATCTATTTCACTTGCTTTGGTTTCCCTTGCCAATGAAGCCCTTTGAATTGAAATTGAGAGAGCGAGGGAGAGAGAGAGAGAGAGAGAGAGAGAGAGAGAGCGCGCAGTCAATATGATAGAGAGAGAGAGAGCAGTCAATATGAGAGAGAGAGAGAGAGAGAGAGAGAGAGAGAGAGAGAGATGTCGTCTTGGAAACAACAGCATGTACTGTACAGGAAGTGGAGTCAAAACCAGGGTTGAATCGCCATGGAAACCAGGGCATTAACAGGAAAATACGAGGAATTGTGTGTGTTATAGAAAAAAACATATCCAGTACAGTGGGCGTTGTGTCTGAACCTTTTTGATGTCGTCGAGCGTGTGGATCTCTGGCGAGAGCCCTCCATGGACACACAGGAACTGCTGGTTCATCAGAGCAGCCAGCGGCAAGCAGTCAAACGCATCCATACACGAGTCATACACCTGCTCAGAGTACTTGATCTTACCTGAGGAGGGGAGGGGAGGGGAGAGAGAGGAGGGGGGCAGAGAGCGAGCGAGAGGGTGGGGGAGAGTGAGAAAGGAGTGGGGGACACAGAGAGAGAGAGAGAGAGAGAGGGGTGGGAGCGAGAAAGGAGTGGGGGACACAGAGAGAGAGAGAGAGAGAGGGTGGGGGAGAGCGAGAAAGGAGTGGGGGACACAGAGAGAGCGAGAGAGGGGGGGGAGCGAGAAAGGAGTGGGGGACACACACAGAGAGAGAGAGAGAGAGAGAGAGAGAGAGAGAGAGAGAGAGAGAGAGAGAGAGAGAGAGAGAGAGAGAGAGAGAGAGAGAGAGAGAGAGAGAGAGAAATTAAATCAAAACACCATAGTGAAGTATCCAAGGACTATAGGGCAGTAGCCAAACTATGCTGTGTATGTGTCAATGTGTGTGTACATTTGTGTATGTGTGTGTACATGCTGTGTATGTGTTTGTGTGTGTGTGTGGGTGTGTACATGTTTGACTATATTTGTGAGTAGCAGAAGTCCTCACAAGAATAGTAAACCAACCAAAATTCAGAGAAGTGAGGACATTTTGCCGGTCATAACTTGTAAAAAGGCTATTTTAGGCTTAGGGTTATGGTTAGGGTTAGAATTAGGGTTATGGTTAAAATTAGGATTAGGGGTTGGGAGTTAAATGTAGGTGTTAGGGGTTGTGTGTGTGTGTGTTTTTGTGAGTGTGTCTGTCAACTTCCCCATCTGCCTAGTGTGGAGAGAGCTCATTAATACCAGTTCACCAGCCTCTCTCACACATACACACACACACACACACACACAGCCGATGGTAATTGAGGGCGACCACTATTCGCCATAAGCATCAGGGGAAATTAGGCTCCTCGTCCTCTGGCCAATCACACACAGCAGACTACGTCCCTGGGCCAATCATTAAGGCCAAATTAATTTCCTATTAGTAATTTGTTCTCTGATGGGCCACTGTGATCCAAAACCAGAGGAGAGAGAGGGGAGGATGGGAGGAGAGAGGGAGAGAGGGATCGAGGATGGATGGAGAGGATGGAATGAGCCTTGGATGAGAAAGGAGCGAGAGAGATGGAACTACATAGAAAGGAGAGAGATGAAAGAGTGTGAGAGCAAGAGAGAGAGAGGATAGAGAGTGGAACAGGATGATAGTATGAAGGGAGGGGGATAAATGGTGGAATAAAGGAGGATACAGGAAGAGGAGAGAACACAGATACTCACATTCTGTTTTGAAAGTGAAATATTCTGTCAAGTGTCTACATTCATGGTTTCCCCGTAGAAGAAATAACGTCTTTGGGTAGAGGATTTTCAACGACCACAGATACAACACACACTGAGAGAGAGAGAGAACACAGAAAGATCCGTCAGGAACAGTACGGCTCAGAGGAAAACATTACCAGCTAGCTACTCACTTGATGTGCTTTGAAAGAACACGTCTCCTTCCTGAGCGGTATGACGGCTGTGTGGTCCCATGGTGTTTATACTTGCGTACTATTGTTTGTACAGAACGTGGTACCTTCAGGCATTTGGAAATTGTGGAGGTCTACAATTTTTATTCTGAGGTCTTGGCTGATTTCTTTTGATTTTCCCACGATGTCAAGCAAAGAGGCACTGAGTTTGAAGGTAGGCCTTGAAATACATCCACAGGTACACCTCCAATTGACTCAAATTATGTCAATGAGCCTATCAGAAGCTTCTAAAGCCATGACATCATCAACTTAATGTATGTAAACTTCTGACCCACTGGAATTGTGAAACAGTGAATTATAAGTGAAATAATAATATGTCTGTTAACAATTGTTGGACAAATTACTTGTGTCATGCACAAAGTAGATGTCCTAACCGACTTGCCAAAACTATAGTTTGTTAACAAGACATTTGTGGAGTGGTTGAAAAACAAGTTTTAATGACTCCAACCTAAGTGTATGTAAACTTCCGACTTCAACTGTACCTTATTTCCATAAGTATTCAGACCCTTTGCTATGAGACTCAAAATTGAGCTGTTTCCATTGATCATCCTTGAGATGGTTCTAAAACTTGATTGGAGTCCACCTGTGGTAAATTCAATTGATTGGACATGATTTGGAAAGGCACACAGCTGTCTATATATGGTCCCACAGTTGACAGTGCATGTCAGAGCAAAAACCAAGCCATGAGGTCGAAGGAATTGTCTGTAGAGCTCCAAGACAGGATTGTGTCGAGGCACAGATCTGGGGAAGGGTACCAATAAATGTCTGCAGCATTGAAGGTACCCAAGAACACAGTGGCCTCCATCATTCTTAAATGGAAGAAGTTTGGAACCACCAAGACTCTTCCTAGAGCTGGCCACCTGGCCAAACTGAGCAATCAAGGTAGAAGGGCCTTGGTCAGGGAGGTGACCAAAAACGCGATGGTCACTCTGACAGAGCGCTCAGGACCTCAGACTGGGGATGAAGGTTCACCTTCCAACAGGACAACGACCCTAAGCACACAGCCAAAACAACGCAGGAGTGGCTTCGGGACAAGTCTCTGAATGTCCTTGAGAAGCCTAGCCAGAGCCTGGACTTGAACCCGATCGAACATCTCTGGAGAGATCTGAAAATAACTGTGAAAAAACGCTCCCCATCCAACCTGACAGAGCTTAAGAGGATCTGCAGAGAAGATTGGGAGAAACTCCCCAAATACAGGTGTGCCAAGCTTGTAGCGTCATACCCAAGACTCGAGTATGTAATCAAAACAAATCAAATTTTATTTGCCACATGCGCCGAATAAGCAAAATGCTTACTTAAAAGCCCTTAACCAACAATGCAGTTTTAAGACAAAAAGTGTAAAGTAAAAAATAGATAAGTAAAAAATAAAAATAACAAATAGTTAAAATAAAATAACAGTAGGGAGGCTATATACAGGGGGTACCAGTACAGAGTCAATGTGCGGGGGCACCGGTTAGTCGAGGTAATTGAGGTAATATGTACACTACCGTTCAAAGTTTGGGGTCACTTAGAAATGTCCTTGTTTTCGAAAGAAAAGCATTTTTTTTGTCCATTAAAATAACATCAAATTGATCAGAAATACAGTGTAGGCATTGTTAATGTTGTAAATGACTATTGTAGCTGGAAACGGCAGATTTTTTATGGAATCTTTACATAGGCTTACAGAGGCCCATTATCAGCAACCATCAGTCCTGTGTTCCAATGGCACGTTGTGTTTGCTAATCCAAGTTTATCATTTGAAAAGGCTAATTGATCATTAGAAAACCCTTTTGCAATTATGTTAGCACTGCTGAAAACTGTTGTGCTGATTAAAGAAGCAATAAAACTTGCCTTCTTGAGACTAGTTGAGTATCTGGAGCATCAGCAATTGTGGGTTCGATTACAGGCTCAAAATGGCCAGAAACAAATAACTTTCTTCTGAAACTCGTCAGTCTATTCTTGTTCTGAGAAATGAAGGCTATTCCATGCGAGGAATTGCCAAGAAACTGAAGATCTCGTACAACACTGTGTACTACTCCCTTCACAGAACAGCGCAAACTGGCTCTAACCAGAATAGAAAGAGGAGTGGGAGGCCCCGGTGCACAACTTAGCAAGAGGACAAATACATTAGAGTGTCTAGTTTGAGAAACAGACGCCTCAAAGGTCCTCAACTGGCAGCTTCATTAAATAGTACCCGCAAAACACCAGTCTCAACATCAACAGTGAAGAGGCGACTCCGGGATGCTGACCTTCAAGGCAGAGTTGCAAAGAAAAAAACATATCTCAGACTGGCCAATAAAAAGAAAAGATTAAGATGGGCAGTCTGAGATATGGCTTGCACTGTACACTCTTAGAAAAAAAGGTGCTATCTAGGTACCTTAAAGGGTTATTCGGCTGTCCCCATAGGATAACCCTTTGAATTACCATTTTTGGTTCCATGTAGAACCCTTTTGGGTTCCATGTAGAACACTTTCTTCAGAGGGTTCTACCTGGAACCAAAAAGGGTTCTCCTATGGGGACAGCCAAAGTACCGTTTTGGAACCCTTTTTTCTAAGAGTGTAGTGTGGACTAGTGTGCACTAGGTAGTGTGTACTAGGTACGTTAGTATGCCCTCACCTCGATACTGAAGTAGCCCCGGTCCACGTAGTCCCCTAGGAAGAGGTAGCGTGTTGTCGCGGGGGAACCGCCCACCTCAAACAGCTTCATCAGGTCAAAGAACTGACCGTGGATGTCTCCACACACTGAAACACAGCGTTACAACAATGTTACACTCATAGAATTAGGAATTCAAATCATTCTAGTAATTAAAAGGGTCTCTACGGTTAGACTAGCATACAACCTCAAACACAACAATGTTAAACAAACAGACAACCGCAGTACTACAGAATCACATTCCTATTACTTTAGTTGTATCTTGTTTTACTGTCCCTCTTACAATAGATGACAACCTGCATGTATTTCCAAACAGTCTCTGAAAGTGACAACAAAGCAGAAAGGTAACCAACAACCCTTTCTCTTCTCTTTCAAGTACAGTAAATGTCAACTGTCAAATAAAAAAAGCCCTACTCTGACAGTGGCACTACCCCCACTTCACTCTCTCCTTACTGTCTGTAATATGTTCTTACAGAACAAACAGCATAAAGCGTTAGAGAGATGAAGCGTGATGGCTGCTATGTGTGTGTGTGTCTCTTTAGCCTGCCAGTAGCCTGCCAGTAGCCTGCCAGTAGCCTGCCAGTAGCCTGCCAGTAGCCTGCCTACCATCTCTGCTCTCTAGGGACTAGCAGTATTTTAGCTGAAAACCCTACAGTAGCTAGGTAGCTACCTTCTCTTCTCTCACTGTGAGTGTGGGATGTGTGTGGTCATGGAATTATAATAATAATAATAATAATAATATGCCATTTAGCAGACGCTTTTATCCAAAGCGACTTACAGTCATATTATCATACAGATACCATTAGCATGGAGAAAGACACACACCAAAGCTAGCCAGTAGCTTGGTGTCTTTAATGTAGGCTACAGGCAGAAAGCTAGCCAGTAGCTGGGTGTCTATAACGTAGGCTACAGGCAGAAAGCTAGCCAGTAGCTGGGTGTCTATAACGTAGGCTACAGGCAGAAAGCTAGCCAGTAGCTGGGTGTCTATAACGTAGGCTACAGGCAGAAAGTTAGCCAGTAGCTGGGTGTCTATAACGTAGGCTACAGGCAGAAAGGTAGCCAGTAGCTGGGTGTCTTTAATGTAGGCTACAGGCAGAAAGCTAGCCAGTAGCTGGGTGTCTATAACGTAGGCTACAGGCAGAAAGCTAGCCAGTAGCTGGGTGTCTATAACGTAGGCTACAGGCAGAAAGCGAGCCAGTAGCTGGGTGTCTATAAAGTAGGCTACAGGCAGAAAGCTAGCCATTAGCTGGGTGTCTATAACGTAGGCTACAGGCAGAAAGCTAGCCAGTAGCTGGGTGTCTATAACGTAGGCTACAGGCAGAAAGCGAGCCAGTAGCTGGGTGTCTTTAACGTAGGCTACAGGCAGAAAGCTAGCCAGTAGCTGGGTGTCTATAACGTAGGCTACAGGCGGAAAGCTAGCCAGTAGCTGGGTGTCTATAATGTAGGCTACAGGCAGAAAGCTAGCCAGTAGCTGGGTGTCTATAACGTAGGCTACAGGCAGAAAGCTAGCCAGTAGCTGGGTGTCTATAACGTAGGCTACATGCAGCTACACAAGTCTCTTCCTTTCTCTCTCTGGATCTCAATCTTCTTCCCTGTCTTTTTCTCCTTCCCCTCACCTGTCCTCTTTCCTTTCATCTCTTCCCTTGTCCCCTCCCCCTCATCCTCACCTGTGACTGGGGCCTCTATATCCAGCATGGTCCTCTCCTGGCGCAGAATGGCGGCTCCCTCATTGATGACGCGTAGGGCCACCACCTCCTCCAGGCGGCCCTCCTTGGTGAGGTGGGCTTTGAGCAGGTCTACTCTGGGCTTCCCCTCACAGTCAAACACCTCCTTCATGGAGAGCCTGTGGCTCAGGGGGAAGGGGACCGCTAGGGAGAGGAGAGGAAGGGGAGAAGGAGGAAAAAGGAGAGGGAGAAAGATGGAGAGAGAGATGGGGGGGATGGAGAGAGAGATGGGGGATGGAGAGAGAGATGGGGATGGAGAGAGATATGGGGGAGAGATGGGGGGATAGAGAGAGAGATGGGGGAGATATGGGGGGATGGAGAGAGAGATGGGGGAGAGATGGGGGGATGAGAGAGAGATGGGGGGGGATGGGGGATGGGGGGATGGAGAGAGAGATGGGGGGATGGAAAGAGAGATGGGGAGATGGGGGAGATGAGGGGAGATGATGGGGATGGAGGAGAGAGACGGGGGAGAGATGGGGGGATGGAGAGAGAGCGATGGGGGATGAGAGAGAGGATGGGGTAGAGATGGGGGGATAGAGAGAGAGATGGGGGAGATATGGGGGGATAGAGAGAGAGATGGGGGGAGAGATATGGGGGATGGAGAGAGAGATGGGGAGAGATGGGGGGATGGAGAGAGAGATGGGGGATGGAGAGAGAGATGGGGTTAGAGATGGGGGATAGAGAGAGAGATGGGGGGATGGGGAGATATGGGGGGATGGAGAGAGAGATGGGGTAGAGATGGGGGATGGAGAGAGATATGGGGGAGAGATGGGGGGATGGAGAGAGAGAGATAGGGGAGAGATGGGGGGATGGAGGGAGATATGGGAGAGATGGGGGATGGAGAGAGAGATGGGGGAGTGGGGAGATGGGGGGATGGGGGGATGGAGAGAGAGATGGGGGGAGAGATGGGGGAGATGGGGGGATGGAGAGAGAGATGGGGAGAGATGGGGGGATGGAGAGAGAGATGGGTGTTAGGGAGAGAGAGATGGGGAGAGAGAGATGGGGTGGAGAGAGAGATGGGGATGGAGAGGGAGATGGAGAGAGAGATGGGGATGGAGAGAGAGAGATGGGTGGAGAGATGGGGATGGAGAGAGAGATGGGGGGAGACAGGGAGAGAAAAAGGACAGAATAAGAGAGAGAAATGTAATTCACATCATATACAGTACAGTAAGCAGCAGGATACAGGGACATGACCTATCTACCTACTTATCTATGCTGCAGAATGCTGTGGTAGCCATGCTGGTTAAGTGTGCCTTGAATTCTAAATAAATCACAGACAGTGTCACCAGCAAAGCACCCCCACACCATAACACCTCCTCCTTCGTGCTTTACGGTGGGAAATACACATGCGGAGATCATCCGTTCACCCACACTGCGTCTCACAAAGACACGGCGGTCTCCAATTTGGACTCCAGACCAAAGGACAGATTTCAACGGTCTAATGTCCATTGCTCGTGTTTCTTGGCCCAAGCATGTCTCTTGTTATTGTTCTTATTATTGGTGTCCTTTAGTATGGTTTCTTTGCAGCAATTTGACCATGAAGGCCTGATTCACACAGTCCCTTCTGAACAGCTAATGTTGAGATGTGTCTGTTACTTGAACTCTGTGAAGCATTTATTTGGGCTGCAATTTCTGAGGCTGGTAACTCTAATGAACTTATCCTCTGCAGCAGAGGTAGCTCTGGGTCTTCCTTTCCTGTGGCGGTCCTCATGAGAGCCAGTTTCATCATAGCGCTTGATGGTTTTTGCGACTGCATTTGAAGAAACTTTCAAAGTTCTTGACATTTTCAGGATTGACTGACCTTCATGTTGTAAAGTAATGATGGACTGTCGTTTCTCTTTGCTTATTTGAGCTGATCTTGCCATAATATGGACTTAGTCTTTTACCAAATAGGGCTATCTTCTGCATACCACAAATTAACTTTTAAGAAGGCACACCTGTTAATTGAAATGCATTCCAGGTGACTACCTAATGAAGCTGGTTGAGAGAATGCCAAGAGTATGCAAAGCTGTCCTCAAGGCAAAGGGTGGCTATTTGAAGAATCTCAAATATAAAATATATTTTGATTTGTTTAACACTTTTTTTGGTTACTACATGATTCCATTTGTGTTATTTCATAGTTTTGATGTCTTCACTATTTTTCTACAATGTAAAAAATAGTAAAATAAAGAAAAACCCTTTAATGAGTAGGTGTGTCCAAACTTTTGACTGGTAATGTATGTACACAGTGTATGTGTTTGGGCAGGCAGTATCGGAGCATGAGGTCTGATACCAACAGGCTCAGAGACAGTTTTTATCTACAAGCCATCAGACTGCTGAACACTTGAACTGGACTGACCACCTGCTCTGATTCTCCGCTCCTTAGCAAACATGCACTCACTCATGCACACAACCACACAGACACACACACATATACATTCATGCTACACACACACATCACAACTGCTGCTACCAGAGTCTTATTATACTGCTCAGTTTATACACTGCAACCCCATCCCCCCTTCCACAATACACGTGTAAATATTGGACTACAGTGCCTTCTCAAAGTATTCATACCCCTTGACTTATTTCACATGTTGTTGTGTTACAGCCTGAATTCAAAATTCTAAAGGTACACACTTTATTAGAATACTTATGAAATGCACATTATTTTATTTGGTAACACTTGTTTATTTTCCCTCGACTGTGTGGGGGGAGCAATATCTACATAAGGGTGCAAATTAAAAACACACAAATGCTCTGACGAAGGCCTTGAGGCCGATACGTAAAGCTCAATAAAGAGCAGCAATAGAGTAAGAGCATTGGGTTAGGGTTAGGGTTAGGGTTAGGGTTAGGGTTACATTGCAGTGTGCAGGTTTCTTATTTTTTCTTACAGCCTGAATTGAAAATGGATTAAATATATCTACACACAATACACCATAACGAGAAAGTGAAAACATGATTTTAGAACTGTTTGCAAATGTATTGAAATATCTCATTTACATAACTATTCACACCCCTGAGTCAATTAAGCAATAATACATGAGGAGGTGTGGTATATGGCCAATATACCACGGCTAAGGGCTGTTCTCTCGCACTACACAACGTGGAGTGCCTGGATACAGCCCTTAGCCATGGTTTATTGGCCATATACCACAAACCCTTGAGGTGTCTTATTGCTATTATAAACTTGTTACCAACATAATTAGAGCAGTAAAAATAAATGTTTTGTCATACCCGTGGTATACGGTCTGACGTACAGTGCATTCGGACAGTATTCAGACCCCTTGACTTTTTCCACATTTTGTTATGTTACAGCTTTATTATAAAATGTATTAAATAGTTTTATTTCCTCATCAATCTACACACAATACCCCATAATCACAAAGCAAAAACAGGGTTTAGACATTTTTGCAAATGTGTTACAAATAAAAAACAGAAATACCTTATTTACATAAGTATTCAGACCCTTTGCTATGAGACTGTAGCTCAAGTGAAGTATTCAGACCCTTAACTCAGTACTTTGTTGAAGCACCTTTGGCAGTGATTTCAGCCTTGAGTCTTCATGGGTATGACACTACAAGCTTGGCACACCTGTATTTGGGGAGTTTCTCCCATTCTTCCCTGCAGATCCTCTCAAGCTCTGTCAGGTTGGATGGGGTGCGTTGCTGCACAGCTATTTTCAGGTCTCTCCAGAGATGTTCAAACTGGTTCAAGTCCACGCTCTGGCTGGAGCAATCAAGGACATTCAGGGACTTGTCCCGAAGCCACTCCTGCGTTGTCTTGGCTGTGTGCTTAGGGTCGTTGTCCTGTTGGAAGGTGAACCTTTGCCCCAGTCTGAGGTTTTCTCTCTGTACTTTGCTCCGTTCATCTTTCCCTCGATCCTGACTAGTCTCCTAGTCCCTGCCGCTGAAACACATCCCCACAGCATGATTCTGCCACCACCATGCTTCACCTTAGGGATTGTGCAAGATTTCCTCCAGACGTGACGCTTGGCATTCAGGCCAGAGAATTTTGTTTCTCGTGGTCTGAGAGTCCTTTAGGTGAGTTTTGGCAAATTCCAAGGGGGCTGTCGTGCTTTTTACTGAGGAGTGGCTTCCGTCTGACCACACTACCATAAAGGCCTGATTGGTGGAGTGCTGCAGAGATGGTGTCCTTCTGGAAGGTTCTCCCATCTCCACAGAGGCACTCTGGAGCTCTGTCAGAGTGATCATCGGGTTCTTGGTCACCTCACTGACCAAGGCCCTTCTCCCCCAATTGCTCAATTTGGCTGTCCTGCCAGCTCTAGGAAGAGTCTTGGTGGTTCCAAACTTCTTCCATTTAAGAATTATGGAGGCCACTGTGTTCTTGGGGACCTTCTATGCTGCAGACATTTTTTGGTACCCTTCCCCAGATCTGTGCCTCGACACAATCCTGTCTCGGAGCTCTACGGACAATTCCTTCGACCTCATGGCTTTGTTTTCGCTCTGGTATTGTATGTAGATTGATGAGGGGGAAAAAAATATTTGATCCATTTTAGAATAAGGCTGTAACGTAACAAAATGTGGAAAAAGTCAAAAGGTCTGAATACTTTCCGAATGCACTGTACCACGGCTGTCAGCCAAGCCAATCAGCATTCAGGGCTCGAACCACCCAGTTTATAATTCATGTTAGAATCACCTTTGGCAGCGATTACAGCTGTGAGTCTTTCTGGGTAAGTCTCTAAGAGCTTTGTACACCTGGATTGTACAATATTTGCACATTCTTTTTTAGAATGCTTCATGCTCTGTCAAGTTGGTTGTTTATCATGGCAAGACCAAGATTTTCAAGTCTTGCCATAGATTTTCAGGCCAATTTAAGTCAAAACTGTAACTAGGCCACTCAGGAACATTCAATGTCACCTTGATAAGCAACTCCAGTGTATATTTGGCCTTGTGTTTAAGGTTATTGTTCTGCTGAAAGGTGAATTTGTCTCCCAGTGTCTGTTGGAAAGCAGACTGAACCATGTTTTCCTCTAGGATTTTGCCTGTGCTTAGCTCTATTCCTTTTCATTTTATCCTAAAAAACTCTCTAGTCCTTGCTGATGATAAGCATACCCATAACATGATGCAGCCACCACTGTGCTTGAAAATATGGAGAGTGTTACTCAGTGATATGATGTGTTGGAATTGCCTCAAACATAGTGC